GGGACCGTACACATAGTGGGTGGGGGAGGGTCCGTATAGGATCATTTCTCATATATATATATATATATATATATATATAAGAATATGAGGTCAGCTCACCATCTGACAGCTACATTAAATGCTCAATTACCCAGATTGAATTTGGGTTGATCTAATGGTCAAAAATGTATTTCGTATTTGAGTTTTAGTTTTTTTTGCAAATTTAAATCACTCTTGGAGCGTATATTTTGAAAATATAGCATAATTTAATAAAAATATCAAAAAGATAATTCACAAAAAATAAATAAACTAAAACACCCCTAAAATTTTCATAGTATTTTGGTTAATTTATTTTTTTTGAATGATTTTTTTTATATTTCTATTATGTGTGCCTTTATGAGAACAGTGAATGTCCCAAATTTCATGCGATTTGGATTAATAGAAAAAAAAAATCTTAAAATTGAAATACGAAATGCAGTTGTGACCCTCCGATCAGCCCAAATTGGGCCAACCCTATTCCATTAGCTCATGGGCGGACATGATCTCTACCCCACCCCCTAAACTAAAAAAAAAATTCACTCTATCAATCATCAAAGTCAGACCAATAATTCCTTGAAAAGTAGTTTCTCTAATTAGGGTCATAATATTATATCTAAATTGGTCTAACAAAGTTGAGGACCTTAAGCTTTCTCTTGACCCGTCCCAAACCCAAGTAAAAGAGGTAGGTTGAAGCATAGTTTCTTTGTTTTCATCTCCGGTGTTGGTTGTGGATTGGGATTCTTGGTGTCAGTTAAATATCAATACAAAGTTTTTGGTCTCTGATTCTTTTTCACCACCAATCTCTGATCTTTTTGGGCTTTCAGATTGGGCTCAGAGATGATGGCGTTTGTCTTACTTACCGGATGTGAAGATAATTAGTTCAAACAAGATTGTTTTTAAATTATGTTCTGAAGAAGATGTAGAGCGGGCTTTGAATAACAGATTTTGCAGGGTGAGAGGCAGTATGTTATCCTTAGATCCTTGGAAAGCTTCGGATCACTCGTCCTACATTCCAATGGAGAGGTTTAGGCAGAAGTTGGTGGGTCTGTTTATGTCAGGGTGGAATTTATCTGTCATCAAAAGGGGTTGTGGGGCACTTTGGTGTGTATTTGGACATGGACTGGGATTCCTTTCTGAACGCAGTCTGTAAGTTTGTTCGTGTTAAGGTTGGGATGGGCCATGGCATGCGGCTCCCTAAGAGTGTTTCCCTTTGTCTTTCTGATTGTTTTTTCTTGATTTCGATTACTGATGAGAATGATCTTGAACCTGCTCAATGGTTTGCAAAGGACTCTTTTTCAC